TATTAGAATTTTGGTTTTTCATTTTTTTACTGTAAGAGGTTTTTATTTAACAGAACTTTTGGACAAAAAAAATCGCAATATATCACAATATATCACCTTGCTTATAATATCGCAATATATCGGGATATTTTGTATCGTGACCCCTCTGTCATGATATGTATCGTATCGCCATATTCTTGCCAATACACAACCCTAAGCAGAATTAGATTTTTTTTCAAAGATTCTTTGTAAAGATGTACAAAAATATTTAAGGTATGAGGATTTTTTTTTTAGATTGATCAGAAACGACAGAAACGTAAAATGTCAAAGGGTGAAGCGTTCGCCTGCCTGACTGCAAAATGACTCAAAACCCAGTGAGGTAGAATAAATAATGCAGCCTGTAGTGAGGTGTCATGGCTCCGCAGCATAAATTCAGCTGCACAGACCCAAACGGTACGAACTAAATCAGATTTATCTCTTGTAAATTCAGGCCTTATCGCTGATCGTTGCGGCTAAATTAGCCAGAAATCAAACAGCAGTCCAGACCTGACAGAATCACCTAATAACCTGATTATGTTCTCAGCTGTTCTTAGTACTGAACTTCTATGGTTTTAGGACTAACTCGCTGAGTCTTTGTAGACTTTTAACATTCATTAAAACAACTATTGTCAATTTACRGATATAATATTAGCTGCAATAAAACTACAAGCTTTTAAATGTGCCAAAAACAGAGCCCATTAAAACTGCCTGACAATGAGTCAGCCTCTCATGTCCTCCTTTACACACAAACCTCCTTCAGTTCATTGTGTGTGTGCGTGTGTGTGTGTGTGTGTGTGTGTGTTACTTAAAAGAGGCAGTGCATATTTCAGAGTGTACTGGCTCCACTTCCCGCCCTTCCAACATCATCCTTTGAATGCAATCCAGTGATTTCCAGCGCAGCCCCACAAGAGAAGGCGAGCGAAGCTGGATGGAAACCACAGAGGGAACATTGTTCACGTCAAGACAGAAAACTAATCCAATGACCGAGTGGAGGTTATTTCTTCAGCTCTTCATGGGGCTCGTTCTCATCGGAACAGGTGGGATTTTCTCACTTTTATTTAAGTATTTTAGCTGATGTGAAGTCTGTTTTTTTTGCTATACTTAGTTAGTCTTTTTCATTAACTAAAAAGATCTTTATCAAGTGAAAAGATTAATAAAACAAAAACAGAAAATAGTTTATTTTTTTCAGTAGTAAAACTATAGCAGTCCAAGTGGAAAACTTTGCTTTGAGAAGGAAGAAGACATGTGAGTAAAGATCATTTAGAGGTGAAAAAATGACACTAATTTGTATATAAACAACAGACATTTTTGTGAGTGTTATGAAATATTTTTAATCTCTTTGCTTAATTGTAGTTTTTAATAGACTGTGGAGAGAATAAAGTCAGATATTTGCAAACATGTGATTCCAGAAGCAAAAGAAAAAAAAAAGAAAAAAAAAAGAAAAAGAGGATGTTTTTCTTTCTTCCATTTGGTGTCAGTATAAGCAGGGTTGAGCCAGCGTGCTGCTGACAAAACAAGTGAACTTGTAAGGTCAATAGGCTATCTGACTGGGCAGCACTTCTGATTGTTTTGGACCAGAGCTTGGCACAAAAAAATGGTTTTTGGCAACAAGTCACTCAGTAGTTTATAGAGAGGTTTCATTGTGTGGGAAATAATGATAAAGTTCAGCAAAACATGTATGTTTTATGTGGCGTTTAATCAGTAAAATCATGTTTAACACACTTAACAATTCTCAACTTGTCAAATTTGCATTTCACAGAAACAATGTGGAATAAACTGAGATTAAAAGGTTTATCATTCCTTGAAGAAATGCATATCACTCAGCGACTTTTATGACTTTAATGCGTTTTGTCTACAGTTTCATCAAAAATTGTTTTGTGCTGAGAAGGAATGGAGTTATAATTGATCTGATCCAACTTTGTAAACGACTGCACAACTGTATGCAACACAGTGATATCTCACAAGATGTGTTTGTGCTAAATGTGTTGTGAATGACTCTCAGCTACTAGCACATTTGATCGCACTAACTGTAAAACTGACTTCATTGTTGCCATTTTTTGTGTTGGCCAAAGGTGATTAGCTGTGGTGGCCACCTTAAACACAATCCGTTTCAGAAACACATTAATTACCTTCTGAGTCAGTGAGAAAATCATTAAAATCCTTTCAGAAGTTCATGAAATGTTTTGCAAATGCGGCACACACACACCTGCTACATTACCTTCAGAGGTGGGTGATGAAAATGTGGAAAGCAAATGTAACAAAATGCTTCCCTTCTGTTAATTATGCAGATTTTAAAATGTAATTTTGCTTCCGTACAGCAGGTGCATCCTGTTCTTTAGAGCTGAGCCCCACCAGGGTGGTGGTGAAACATGGAGACCCAGCCTCAGCGACCTGCAACACATCAAACACTGACATTGAGGGATTAGGCTGGGAGGCTTCACAAGGTGGCATCGGCCTCACAAYGGTTACATCTCTAACATGGACAGTCCAAAATGTAACGGAGTGGGGCATAAATCCTATGTGTTTTGCCCTCAATAAGGATGGACACCAGTGTGATGAGAGCCTAAAACTTATTATTTATAGTAAGTCTAGCTGACTTGCACAAATCAAACTAATAAGTGAACTATGCTCGCTAATCCGTTTCTGTCCTCCAGCCTTTCCAGAATCCATCAGCCTCAGCTCCAGCAGTACATCAGAGATGACAGAAGGGATAGAATATGACTTGGCATGTGATATTTTTCACATCGCACCAGTTAAAAATCTCACTGTGAGGTGGTACAAAGGGGACACCGTCATCAGTCAAACAAACTTTGATCAGGTCACGACGGAACCGCAAAATTTGTCACCTGTTCATCATTTTATTCCGACAAGAAATGACAGCAATTCCACTTTAAGATGTGAGGCACACATGGACTTGGGACCAGAGGGACCTCTACTTTCTGTATCTTCACAAGAGTATTATATTACAGAAGTTAAGTGTGAGTATATCATTACATTTGTCTTATTTGTTCCACTTCATAAGTTCTATTCAGAGGTCTAAAATAACTAAGTAAAATTACATGAACAGAAAATGACTTTGTTAAAAAATAAATTTCACCGATGAGAAAACTACTCAAGTAAAAGTCATAAAACTGTTCACAGAAATTGGGAAAGTAAAAGTAAAAGTACTTTTACACACTCTCTAAGAAATAAACCATTGAATTTATTGAACCAAACTGGTTCCACTAAGCCAGGTTGAGTAAATTGAGCAATAAATATATATTCTTTGCTCATTGTACTCAACTAGGCTTAATGGAGCCAGTTGACATGATTTTCTTGAGTAAATTCAACACTTCGTTTTTTTTTTTTTTTTTTTTTACACACTCTCCAAGAATTAAACTGTTGAATT